TGACGATTTCATTAAAAATGCGCCCACACAGCCGAACTTATTGGCAGCGATGTAATTTTGTAATTTCGTATGCATTTGTGCAGTTATCTGCATATTCAGCACTCATTCGTTTTTGTGTATGACCTCATTACCGATCAGTCGATCTCTAGTTATTTTGAAGATTTTAGTTGATCGCGGCCGAAAGCAGGTTGGCCACCCCTGATATATAGGATAAATATCTTTTAAATTGGGAATTAACGTATAACCAAGTATACAAAACCTACGAAGCTAGGTTACATAACCAAGTCCAACTGCTAACTTAGCATATTTGACGAGTATACCAGGTACAGTAATCATGAATAATAGAAATTGAAAGACAACGAAAGTGAATTAACATCACAAAATATAAGTAAATCAAAGTGAAAAAACAGCCTTATCACAATTAATTAAAAAAAAAACGTTGAGCCCAGAATAAAATTACATTAAAAAATAGTAAATTCCGCTGCCGTCCAGTCACCTATTACATAACGGTATCACTCGCGAGAAATTAATCTATAAGGTATAAAAAAGTAGCTGCATTACTACCGCGGCGAAAAAAACATTTTATTGACTGACGCTTATTCTTATAAATACGATGTGCAAGCCCACCCACGGCGATTTTCTACCCATTCTAAAGTAGCCCACATCCGATGCTAAAATATTTGATTTTTAAAAATTCACGAAATTCTATCCTCCTCTTGCGGCTGCGAAAGAATACACGCTGTAACCTGAACATACAGGCTTACGTCACAAGTCATGAATATCTTATCGTTTTGCTCAGTAAAAAATGGCATCCAGAGAAGCCAACATTCATCGTAAACCACTGATTTACGCACAATCGATTTGTCATCAGGAAAGCGATGTCCGAGATTCACACACGCATAACATATTGGCAGACAGCTAATTTTGACGGAGTTTATAATGAAATTGGATGCTAATTAGGGTACTCCTGAAGTATGCGCACCAAGATGACGGGCACCGGAACGTAGTATGTATATCAGGTTAGGGTTAGGCCTAAATTTTATTCCAATTTTCCTTTATTTTTGTTCTATTACCAGTTCGGGGAATAGCCAAGTGACTCCCGTAGTATTAGTATCTAAATCAATCAATCATCATTTATTCGTCAACACAATCAATATAAATGTATCACGGAAATATGGTTAAATATAAAGTAAATAAATAAAAGAAAACGAACTTTATATGTGTGACAGGAGTCGCGAGGGACCACGAAAGGTCTTCGAGCAGCGACACCTACGATGCTGGTTCAGCTTAACCAATAAATTTAGATAACGCCTATGCTTCCAAATAATATTATCTATAAAAAACGAGACATTAAAACAATTGAATGATATGTGTATATAGAAAATTTGAAAAAATTATGGCCTAACCTGGTACACATAATACGTTCCAGTTTTTTTTTTTGCGTTGTCACGATCGCAATAATTTCACTCTAAAATTATCAAAACGCTCGAGATTAAAATCTATATTTTCGCCGCCCACTTTAATTGCATAAATCAAGAGACAATTGCTCAAATTTATAGACACAACGTTCAAAACGATTTAATATTGGTACGTTATCTTTTATCGTAATGGTAGTCTATCTGCAAACAAACGATCCCACGACACAAGAAATTATCTTTCATATGTTACAGGCACAACGGAATCTTAGCCAATGATAGATTAAATAAACGGGGCCATGACGCGCTTAGCCGAGTGTCCAAAATTAGATCCAATTCGTTAAAGCCACGATGCGAAAACAAAAACTGGATAAATTAGGTTACCTACCAGCAGTGGTGAGATTCAAATTTTTTGTCAGCCGGTTCCATCACACAAATGTCATATTTTTCAGCCGCTTCTGTAACAAAAAGTCATGTTTTTTTCAGTAATACTAGCCGGATCGCTGATCTCATAAAATTCCGTGAGACGGTTCTATTGAACCGGTGCGAACCGGCTGAATCCCACTACTGCCTACCAGAGTCGAGATGAGGCTTCCAAATACGCTCCCGAGTTTCCAGTTTCCGTATTCCATTCCGTACCGTAAACTTATATAATTTTCAACATATTACCGCGGCTACCAAGTTTCCTTTTTCTACATTTCACTCAAATAAAACGGCTTCGTAGAGCTTTAAAAGTACTACAACGCTGCCAAACAGAATACAACTTTATATAGCAGAAACGCAGACTAATGGCCGCCTGTGGAACATCAACCAATCACGTTCAATTACTTCAAACGTCAAAATATTAATTTTGTCGTCACAAACGTTTTTAACAACGCCAGTTGTGTCGTCGCGTGAATCAACAATATTTTGATACTGACGTGAATAACTCAGAATTTCGGCACAAACAAACCCACAACAAAACATGATTTCGACAAATCTGGCATTTACTTGCAGCACTGATTCCGCTTTATCGCTAGGCTTACCATACGTCCCGATTTGGGCGGGACAGTCCCAATTTTCAACGTCTTGTCCCGGCGTCCCGACCGGTCAGTCGAAAGTCCCGCTTTGGCGCTCAGCCAGTCAAAGAAATATACGAACATTAGCATGTTCTCGATACTGTTGTTGCTGTGTAATCTAACCGGTGGCCTACTTACTGAAGGCGGACCGGTCAGTCGAAAGTCACGCTTTGACGCTCACCCAGTCAAAATAATATACGAACATTAGCATGTTTTCGATACTGTTGTTGCTGTGTAGCTAACAGGTAGCCTACTTACTGAAGGCGGATGTGTGATTTCAATTATTTCGTTGTTTTAATTGCTACAATTTGTAGCGTGTAAGCCCCGCATGCCAAAAGGGTGCATGACGTTAACGTAAATTCCTGTCTAATTTTCGAACTGAAACCGATATTCAGACAGACAGCACACGCACTATCGATGACAATATGGTCAATGAAGACAACCAGGATGATTTTAAATGTAGGCCTCTAATGTAAAATCGGTAAATTTGAGGTTCATAAAGTCAAAGCTATGGTCTTTGGAAGCGTCCCGCTTTGAGGCCACAAAAATATGGTAACCCTATTTATCGCAATGCTGTCACTCAGATTATTTTCAAGATATAGTCGGTAGAAAAATACCTATGTCTGCTATAAAATCTCACGGAGTAAAATTGATTGAATATAAATTAGAATTACATTAATTATCTTATATAATATATATCATCACAAACCAGGAAAAAGTCGCGTTTCCAACCCCGTATCACGTTAGAACGAAACATTTCGACGGCAAAGCATTCTGGAAATATCCCTGGACCATGACAATATCAACGATTGCAGTGACGATATGGTTTCCAAGACAAACCAAATGTAATGTGTGCCGTAGTCACAAATTTTGCGATTAACAATGCATACAGAAGCGTTTTTATCTGTCGCGGGCCTCCTACGACAAAACTCATATTGTTTTCAGTTTTATTTTTCGTATTTTATATTGTCGCTCTTCAATCAAAAAATTTGCGTCGCGGACTCACTCCTTTATTTGTCTTTAGCATCTTGCCGCCAATGAATGTAATATAACTCTCACCGGATTCTCAATCCTGCACGAGTACAAAAAAGGGAATTATCAACGTTGTCGTGGCAACGTTACTGCAAGCGCAAGAGTCAAAAGTCGTTCCTGCTGGGTTAATAAGTTAGTCAGCTAATCGTTTTCGGAAGTATGAACTTGATTGTAGAGAAGCCGTAACAGACCAGCGGTATGGCAGTACAGCAATCCTCCCTCACATTTTTATCCCTAAACGGATTCGAACCTGCGAACCCACGCAGGGTATTTTAGAGGCGTTGTGGCAAGGGTATTCTTGAAGACTTGACCATAGAAGTCGTTTATATATATTGAAATTAAATTATTAAATTGGATTTTATTAAATGAGAAAGCGTCTACTTTTCTACACTGTTTGAGCTATTTTAAATTGATCCGCGAAATTTGTTCGTATTAATTGTTATCAGTAGGATTAAATATAGAATAAACGATGGAAAATAGTTCGTCAATAGTATCCGGCTGTGTGCAGGACTAAAATGTCACCAATATCCGTACCCTCGGGCGGTTGGCGCATTAGAGATACAATTGCCATCGAACCTATGATTACGCCGCTCGGGTTCACAGGTTCAAAAAGTATGAGGGATAAGTATATGAAGATTGGGGTGGATTGCTGGACTCCTTGCTCACTACTGTGGCCGCTGGCCTCCACCATCAAGTCTACGAATCTGAAACGAATACCTGGATAGCTATTTTCATATTCTGGCATGATTTGATAACCGGACGAAAGGCGATGTTCCGTTATAGCTATAGGCTGATTATCGACTTTCCTCTCTGCTCCATAATGATTTTGATGTTTATTATTGTTCATTTGAAAAGCCGGCAAATTAACATTTTTTTAAATATTGACGAATCTGTGATAATCCGACTGCTCGGTGCGTGCCTAATAACTGATAAATTACAGAAACTAAATTGAAAAATTATTATAAATATTAATTGTAAAGACTAAACTAAGCGCTTGATAATTGTCATAATTCTTTGGACCGGCCGGAACTCAAAAAAAAAAACGTCACGTGACCTAGTAACATCACTACTTGCAGTATTAACTTTAAAATATTCAATTGCTGATTCACACGTATACATTTCATTTATATTTTATACATTTTTCATCGCTGATGCTATTTTTAAATGATTACTTGCATATTGACCAACCATACGTTCCGGTTTAATCGGGACAGTCCCGGCTTGGCAGGATACCTCGGCGTCCCACCTGGCATACATACATGGGCCAGGAGCCTCGGTGACTTAACTAGTCTTGCATACTGACCCTCACGAAAGATGATTAACCAATTATCATAAAAATATTTTCTGTTGATTCGAATGTATCATGGTGTTGAATTTGTTTGTGATAAAATCTCTTTCTCGCCTCGGAGAAATATCAGAAGTCCATCCCGTATTAGAGCGCTAGGGATCAAAGGTCAGGTACGTCATTCCGTGGACGATGCACAAAAGGTGCTTTCTGTAGTTTTGAGGAATTTTCGGCAAATTTAGTCCGTTATTGAAATTTTCTGCGCTGAATTACGGAAAAACCGGTTAAACAGTAGAAAGAACTGTAATTTATCCGTCATTTATAGAATGATCGGTATTGTGTGAGCGAAATAATGACCGAATTCCTAGATCCATTAAGCCAAGCTGCGGCAGCCAACTCGGATGAAAGCGATGATGAAATACCGAGAAAAGAAACGGAATTAGCGGAAAAGCAGGAAATTACTGAAGTTGATGATGGAGATTTATTTGATGAAGAAGGGAAAACAGAGCAACAAGAATTGGTCAGTTAGGTTTTCCGTAGATCCTACCAACTTAAACCTATGATTGCCCGGAATTGCATCTGCGCCGATGAAAAAGAACTGGCACGGCGGTGTTTGTCATCGTGCTAAGCGTTAGGAATACGCTCGCCACCGCACCTCTAGTTACTTTGCGTGGGTTCGCAGGTTTCAAACCCTATGCGGGATGGTTATGTGCGAGAGGATTGCTGGACTTCTCGCCACCGTTGGGTGGTTCACGTAACCGCTGGTCGGTTGCAACCATGCCAAGGAATTCAATGACGTTTTTACATTGAGCTTCTTTTTAGTTTCTTTCGCAACTTCATTTTACTGTATTTTTACCGAGGGACAACAATGTCCAGACATCCTTGAAAGGAAGGGTGTTTGTTCATTTGTTAAATGAGATTCTCTTAAACGAGACAATGTCGCTCAATCTGTAAAGTGTGTCGCACTGACGGTTCGCAATATGATTGAGCCGTCTTACCAGCCCCGTTCTCCTCCAGACTAAATGTGTGAAAATTCTATCTTATCACAGCATTGGCATATCAAAAAATTGTCACTTCAACTATTATTTCAGAATTTTTTTTTCAATTAACAGGACGATGATGACATCATTGATCTCGTTAACGATGGCTCGTTAGCAAAAATTAAAAATGAATCAATGTCAAATAACAGAAGTCTCTCTACAGAATTTGATGACCAGAAAGATTTGTTCGTAACCGTAGAAAAACCTGAAAAAATCATTTTATCAATGGAGACGTATATTTCATATCAAGTATCTACAAAGGTTTGTGCCTAGGCCAGTGGTTTCTAGTCTTTTTTTTTTTAAATCATCTTTTTTTTGCCTGTTTTGGAATCTTTATTTCCTACGTTCAGCACAATGTGCCAACGCTGAGAATTTTTTATAAATAATTTGACCAGCTCGATTTTTTGAAAAAGCATAAACAGTCAATTTTTTTCTTCTATTTTAGACGACCAGAAGTACGTTCGATGACTCTGAATACAAAGTTCGGCGCCGGTACCAAGATTTTATTTGGCTTCGAGGGAAATTAGAAGAAGCACATCCTACTCATCTGATACCGGTATGCACAGAAATTTAATTTTTTAAACTTAGAAGAAAGTTATTGATGCAATTATTCATAAAGTGTTTTTGAGTTGAGAAGAAAAATCGCTCTTCCTCGCAAACCATTGGCTTTTAAATTTTTTTAAATTTTAGTAATGAGTAATGTTACTTTAAGACCTGATATTTCACTTCAAATTTTGATGGTTTTTAAAATTTATAGGCTCCCTTGTATGTTCATTCCCATATAATTCCCTTGACATTGGATTAGAATATTGCTGTGAGAAGGTGGTTTGACAGCAGTGTGACAAGTTTGGTAATCAGTGCCTAGAGTATTCTACTACCTACCAGTATATTGTATATTAATTTATGTGAACCATACTGTTATTATGTGTAGCATATCGTTATGTCTGAAATTAGCAATAAGTTAAGAGGATAGATGACCACCACTGCCAGGCGCGCAGCCAGGATTTACAAAATCAGAAATTCCCATTGCCGCCTGTAACAGCCACCTCGATTCTGCGCTCGTTCCGTCTTTCAGCGTATAATAATCATCCTTTTGCGTAAAATATTCAATCCATGACAACTACGAGATTCTAAAATATCTTTATTTATTAATTTTATGAGTCCAACGTAACTCGCGGTTGCTTCTTTTTACGTCAAAATAAAAACATTACTATTCGGTCTACGGCGATCTGTGGCCTAAAAGTACGAGATAAACTGCCTGATGTATTTAATTTTAATACGTATTTTTGGAATCTCGCCAACTCGTTATCGCTAGTGGAAAAATCTCAATAACTGATATAAAATCCTGTAGAGTACAACTTCATTTCATACAATGAATATACATATAAAGTTTAGCAGTAAATTAAAAATACATATTCATCGTCGCGATTACTCCACCTGTTAAAAGAGCCGACTTTTACAACGAATAATATAACAAGGAATATATATTTATCTGTTGTGCAAAGTGATTAATTCGTGACCGATACGGGCATATTTAAAATGTCTTGCTTCCTTAAGTTGATTGTTTTCAATTTAACCTGCGGTTGCGTCGACAAAATAAAATCCTCACCAGTCACCACTCTAATATACCATGGCAATCTGCGGACGTGTGGTAAACTGCCCGATTATATATTGTTTTGATCCGTATTTTGCGAATTCGGCAAATTTGAGATGTGTAACACTGACTCTGCTAAATCGAAATGCCGCCACTCCGATTATTTTTAAGATAAAATCGTTTGGAAAATCCATAAATATGCCTGAAAATCTCAGGTAAAATTTATTTCAGCAAATAAAAATTGATTGAATATACTTTATATTAATTATATTATAATTATAAATTTTCACAACCCGGTAAAAGTCGCGTTTAAACGTTGTATAATGTTAACACAAAAAATTTCGACGGCAATTTAATTAAGGTAATGGATAATCAGGCAAATCCCGCCCTCAATTAGTGACGATATGTTTCTAAACGCGAACCAACATAATGTGAAAAATTTTGCGATTTCCACCTCCTAGAAAAGCGTTTTTTAAACTATCGCGGGCTTCAATAGAACATATTTTGTTTACGGTTTTATTTTCAGTATTTTAAATTGCCGCTTTTCAATCAAAAAATTTGCGTTTTCTTTAGATACTCGCCGCCGATGAACGTATTCACCGGATTCACAAGCTCGTGCCAGTACAAATTTAAATAATCGTTATCGTGGAACAAATTTGTGGAAAATTTGCGATTTAGAGAAAATAACACTAACGTAAAGGCGTTTACGGCCTAAATAACACGTCCGCTGATAAAGCAATCGTGCGCAAGTTTCTATCGAAAATGTTTTCATTCAACAGAAACGGCTTGAAAGCGGCGTCGAAAATGTGTGACGTCACACAAATATCCGATATTCTTATGAACGCTAATTCCGATATTCGAATAACGAGATATTCGAATACTTTATTCGAATTGGCCATCCCTGTTTGACACACAATTTTATTAAAAAGTCGCTTTTCTCTTTGATTACCGGGCCAATTGCTTTGAAATTTTCAGTGGTTGAATATGGAATTTTTTGCCAGAAGGCTATTACTTTCATTTATTTCTAAATTTTCTATGAATCCTATGAGATCTGATATTTTATTCGGGATTTTTGAGGGGGGGCGGTTGACAACCTGTATTGGCTTTTTGCGTCTCCTATCACTCTGAAATGCGGTTGGGAAACGATGCTGTACATGCATATGTTTTCTGAGTCTGACCAAAGCAAAGTCTTGGACCTTCAATTAAGTTTCAATAGAGGAATTGCAGGCAACAACTGAAGTATGTTCAGATTATATGTATGGTATTTCTATTTAGTATTTTCCAGTGTTCATCCCTTTTCTTCTCTTTTCAGCCTCTTCCATCTAAATTCATTGTGAAAGGAATGGTGGACAGATTCAGCTCAGAGTTCGTGGGTGAGTTTGTGATTCCCTTCTTTTGAAAAAATGTGTTTTAATTGGTCAAAATTTCAATTGTTACACCATCGTTGGCATCTTACTGATTGGCCAATGTTAGGGAAGCAAATACGGAAACGTTTAAAAATGTACAATATAGTATATATCCTGGAATTAGCGACCTCAATTTGGGAAGGCCTGATCTATACAAACGAAAACATCTCTCAGTAGGACAATATTGTAGGAGATCAATTTTTCTTAATTCATGCTTTTCCCGCAGGTACACGATGCAGAGCGCTGGATTCATTTCTGAAACGGATCGCTGAGCATCCGGTTATTTCATTCAGCGACCATGTCACCGTGTTCCTAACTTCTGAGGTAAGATCTTCGAGCCATTCTGTAAACTCCTGCTCGAGGCACAAATAAAATTTTGACCTGGACTAAAGAAAATCAAAACACAGTAGACACAGATTATGTTTCTCTGCGCGGCGGTGTGGCACAAATAGCTGGCTATCTAATCTCATACCCGACATGGAATGGTAACCGAACGAGAGGCTGTGGTTCGCCATATGATTAAGCTGTCCTATTGTCTTTCCTCCCGGGATAAATATGTAAATTCTATTCTGGTTTTATTCTATTCTGTCACCGGCAATATAAAAACTTTCTTGATGTTTCAGGACTTTGCAGACCATCGGAAACAAAACAAACCAGGGTTACTGTCTCGTGTCGGGGGTACAGTCAAGTCCGCTGCAACTGTGGGGTCATCGATAAGGTCAAGAGGTCGTGACCCTGAATTTGCAGAAATGTCAGACCATGTTGCCACATTCCGTGAACAAATGGCTGTAACTGATAGAGTTGCGGAGCGTTTGCTGAATGAAGAAAAAGGTGGGCAGCAATTCCATAAATGTCACGGAGTGACATTTCACACATTTAATCAATTTTACTATATCAAGGTCTTGGTGGTTTGCTATTTTTAGAATGCCAATTGGTAGCAGTAACACTGATGTATTTACCATAATTCACTTTTCACTTTCAACCAAATATTTTTCAAACGACGAGACACAACAAGTGATGTCACGGAGTGACAAAAAGTTGAATGCATAAAATGAGTGCGATATATCAACCAGTGGCACAACCAGGCCATTTTCAGCGGGGGGGCCGACCGGAATTTACACAGTGCAACCACGACGTAAGTCGCAACGCCACTAGGTGTCGCCCCGCTGAAAAACAATAAATTGCTCGTGGTTAAAAGGGAAACGCCATCGATTAAATCTCAGTCTTTCGCTTACCTTGGCCTCGTTCATTAACGGCGCTTCGCTATGTCTTGCACCTCGTGGGTAGTAAAACGCCATTCATTACATTCCAGCGAATTGCTGACGAAAGTTAATTGTTAATTATTTTCAACGTTTCCCTCGCTTTGCGCCTCGTGGAAAGTGAAACACGGCTTGAATAAATTCCAGTGTTTCCCTCGTTCCGTGCCTTGCTCGTTGGGTGAATTCGTCAAGACCAAAAACAAAATGCACTTCTTGCGAATGGACCTTTTCCCGACCCTAACCCCAAAAAAATGCCAAACTAAACTGAAGCTCACCGGAAGACATAATGACAATTAAAATACTTGATTTACAACTAATTTTTGGAAACACAACTAAAAACTGACTAATTTAATGCAGGGATGTCCAAATCGAATTTAAATTTAAATATCGCAAACTTCAAATACTGTTTTTTCGTGTTTATAATAATTCCGAATAGGGCGCACATATCCTAGCGTCGTCGTCCATGTGGGGTTCGGCAATATATTACAGCTGACATGAAAGAATTTTGATAAATGCTGACTTGAAGAACTTATAAGACTTTGAGGACGTTTTTGATTGAAAATATTTTCTTATCGTGTATTTTAACTTAGTCGAGATGGTTTAGGCGTCCTCTGCAAATTTTGTCTTAATTAGTTGTTTTCATCCTCAGTTTCGATAGTGACCGAACATAACAGGAAATTTTTTCATTTCTTGTAATTTAGCGCGTATAAAATAGCTCTTAAATAGTATTTAATATCTATCGCGGATTTCGTCGGCATCCGGCGTTGATGACAACATCGTTCATTTTAAGTTAGCTGTATTCATTTACCAACAAAAATACATAACAGCCGACATGAAATATTCAAATCAGCGCAGAGTTTTATGGTCTTAATATGTACTTAGAAAGAAGAAAGGACAGAGAAATAATGACTAAAAACTAAGAACGGTATGGTATGTTTGTGTACTTTTGTTTACCATCGTCATCATAATCAAATTAGTTAAACCCGATTCCCAAATTTCCGTCCGCCAATAATGGAGAATAAAAATGGAAAAAGGTGTTTTACTTTTTGAGTCGGCGTTGATTTAAATTTTTCATGTTATGTGTTATAATTTTTTGATTATAAACCAATACCTCCAACTTAAAATGAACGATATTGTCATCAACGACGTCGGGATAACGATAAAATCTCTGATAGAAACCAAATAATATTTAGAAGTTATTTTATAGATTGCAAGAAATTAAAAAATTTTCTGTTAAGTTCGATAACTATCGGAACTGAGGATGAAAACAATTAATTAGGGCAGAATTTGCTTTTTTCAGTTTATTGCCGAGGCGCACAACATATCTTGACTAAATTGAAATATACGATAAAAATTAATTAAAAGATCACAACAAAAAATTAGTGTGCCGTATGGTATAGTGAAAAACACCTTTTCCCCACCTGCTCTCACATACAACGTGCAAAAAGGCAGCGTCAGCTAAACCTCTGCAGTCAGTTGGCTCGTAATGACATCAACTGAACTCTTTCTGTGATATCACAGGCCCACAGCTCTGTGACACCACAATGGGGCATCGTGTTCGAAACAGAAAGTGGGGAATCAGTGTCCCCAGCAGTTATTGCAAAAGCGACAAATGTGTATTTGCAAATTTTAGCGCTCAATATTTGTATTATCAATATATATGTCATACCATAACAGATTTCGCGGCCCCTCCGAAAGTGCTTCATGAACCCCAAAAGGTCCGCGGACCCCAGTTTGGGAACCACTGGGCTAGGGGGCCCAAAAACCTTGCCCACCTAGACTAGCGGGCCATGTAAGTGTAATGTAAAAAGTTACATTTTATGAAAAGGGTTAGTCCATAATTTTAGGTACTACAGTAGCCACTTGGCTAGTGCCCGAACTCGTGATAGAACTAAAATAACGCAAATTGGGATAAAATTATGGCCTAACCCTAACCTGGTACATATACTACGCTTCGGTGTCTGCCATCTTGGTACGCATACTTCAGGAGCACTGTGGATTGTTATGTCATTTTTTGTATTTTTTTTGTTGTTTGTCTTTACCTACCGGACCATTTACTCTCTCTCGGAATAAATATGTAAATCCTATCCTAAATTGTCAGTGGTTTCTTGTACTGTTAGTATATAAACTTTCTTAATGTTTCAGGATGTTCCAATGTTTCTTGTAAAAAAATGAATAAATCCTATAATAAAAAATGTCCATTTTCCAGAACTTGTCAATGAGTTGAAAGAATACGCTCCTACGTACTCAGCATGGGCTTCAACAGAGAACCAAGTCTTAGCACCAATCATCACGTCAGTTTCAAAGTGCGTGGATTCTTGTGCCGAATGGGCGCGTAAAAACGCAGAAGACCATGAACTGTATTTCATTCCGCCTTTAAAGGTAGTTAGTTGATTTATATTTGCTGAAGTACTTCCCATGCGCAGATATTTATGTGCGAGAAAATTGCTGGACTCCTCGTCGTCGTAGGGTGGTTCACGTAACCGCTGGTTGGATACGGCTTCCTCCACCATCATCAAAACTAATTTTAACTTGAATTACAAGGGTGAATTTTAAAATAAAAAAAAATAATTTATAATTCCAGGAATATATGTTATATTGTGATGGAATAGAACAAGTTTTCAAACGTCGTGATGTCATGCAAAATCAACGAGACAAATGCCATGAGGAATTGAAAAGAAAGAGAGAGGAGAAAGATAATGTGAGTGTTTTTTTTAGGAGTTGCTCAAATTTGGGTCGGTCACACTCACTCTGAAGTGAAGGAGACTCATGTCTGAGCAGAGTTGCGGGCACTCACTCAGAAGTAAAGGAGACTCATCTCTGAGCAAAGTTACGGGCACTCACTCAGAAGTAAAAGAGACTCATCTCTGAGCAAAGTTAGGGGCACTCACTCAGAAGTAAAGAAGACTCATCTCTGAGCAAAGTTATGGGAACTCACTCAGGAGTAAAGAAGACTCATCTCTGAGCAAAGTTATGGGCACTCACTCAGAAGTAAAGGAGACTCATCTCTGAGCAAAGTTACGGGCACTCACTCAGAAGTAAAAGAGACTCATCTCTGAGCAAAGTTAGGGGCACTCACTCAGAAGTAAAGAAGACTCATCTCTGAGCAAAGTTACGGGCACTCACTCAGAAGTAAAAGAGACTCATCTCTGAGCAAAGTTAGGGGCACTCACTCAGAAGTAAAGAAGACTCATCTCTGAGCAAAGTTACGGGCACTCACTCAGAAGTAAAGGAGACTCATCTATGAGCAAAGTTACAGGCACTCACTCAGAAGTAAAGGAGACTCATCTATGAGCAAAGTTACAGGCACTCACTCAGAAGTAAAGGAGACTCATCTATGAGCAAATTTACAGGCATTCACTCAGAAGTAAAGGGGACTCATCTATGAGCAAAGTTACAGGCACTCACTCAGAAGTAAAGAAGACTCATCTATGAGCAAAGTTACGGGCACTCACTCAGAAGTAAAGAAGACTCATCTCTGAGCAAAGTTACGGGCACTCACTCAGGAGTAAAGAAGACTCATCTCTGAGCAAAGTTACAGGCACTCACTCGGAAGTAAATGAGACTCATCTATGAGCAAAGTTACGGGCACTTACTCAGAAGTAAAGGAGACTCATCTATGAGCAAAGTTACAGGCACTCACTCAGAAGTAAAGAAGACTCATCTGTGAGCAAAGTTACGGGCACTCACTCAGAAGTAAAGAAGACTCATCTCTGAGCAAAGTTACGGGCACTCACTCAGGAGTAAAGAAGACTCATCTATGAGCAAATTTGCAGGCATTCACTCGGAAGTAAAAGAGACTCATCTATGAGCAAAGTTACGGGCACTCACTCAGAAGTAAAGAAGACTCATCTATGAGCAAATTTACAGGCATTCACTCAGAAGTAAAGGAGACTCATCTATGAGCAAAGTTACAGGCACTCACTCAGAAGTAAAGAAGACTCATCTATGAGCAAAGTTACGGGCACTCACTCAGAAGTAAAGAAGACTCATCTCTGAGCAAAGTTACGGGCACTCACTCAGGAGTAAAGAAGACTCATCTCTGAGCAAAGTTACAGGCACTCACTCAGAAGTAAATGAGACTCATCTATGAGCAAAGTTACGAGCACTTACTCAGAAGTAAAGGAGACTCATCTATGAGCAAAGTTACAGGCACTCACTCAGAAGTAAAGAAGACTCATCTATGAGCAAAGTTACGGGCACTCACTCAGAAGTAAAGAAGACTCATCTCTGAGCAAAGTTACGGGCAATCACTCAGAAGTAAAGGAGACTCATCTATGAGCAAAGTTACAGGCACTCACTCAGAAGTAAAGGAGACTCATCTATGAGCAAAGTTACGGGCACTCACTCAGAAGTAAAGGAGACTCATCTATGAGCAAAGTTACAGGCACTCACTCAGAAGTAAAGGAGACTCATCTATGAGCAAAGTTACGGGCACTCACTCAGAAGTAAAGGAGACTCATCTATGAGCAAAGTTACAGGCACTCACTCAGAAGTAAAGGAGACTCATCTATGAGCAAAGTTACAGGCACTCACTCAGAAGTAAAGGAGACTCATCTATGAGCAAAGTTACGGGCACTCACTCAGAAGTAAAGGAGACTCATCTATGAGCAAAGTTACAGGCACTCACTCAGAAGTAAAGGAGACTCATCTATGAGCAAATTTACAGGCATTCACTCAGAAGTAAAGGAGACTCATCTATGAGCAAAGTTACAGGCACTCACTCAGAAGTAAAGAAGACTCATCTCTGAGCAAAGTTACGGGCACTCACTCAGGAGTAAAGAAGACTCATCTCTGAGCAAAGTTACAGGCACTCACTCAGAAGTAAATGAGACTCATCTATGAGCAAAGTTACGGGCACTTACTCAGAAGTAAAGGAGACTCATCTATGAGCAAAGTTACAGGCACTCACTCAGAAGTGAAGAAGACTCATCTATGAGCAAAGTTACGGGCACTTACTCAGAAGTAAATGAGACTCATCTATGAGCAAAGTTACGGGCACTTACCCTGTATATTTTTTGAGTTCGTATAAACATAACATAAAGAGAATATAATATAATCCATCAATTCAGCAATTCCAGTAATTCATTTTTTTCAGCAATTCAGCGTTACATTTTCATTCATTTCTTCCCATTTCAGCTCCCAGCCTCAGATCAGTCATATTCATTAAGTGCAATGCTCGGAAAGAAACCTGACGAAGTCAAACAACAAAAACAGGAAAAACTGGAACAGCAGATTGAAGAGGTAATTTATTTGAATGGTGGGGGGCGGGATGAAAAAAAATATATTTAGGGGGAATTTTTATTTAGTAGTGAGGGGGAAGGGGGGAATAAAACTTTTAATTGAAGACATACCGTATATACTCGCCTATAGGTTGCAACTTTTTTCCTTAAAAAATATGGGTGCGACCCATCCACTCAACATACGGGGTGCATGCGACTCGTGCACGCGCATACCAATGCGCGACTGCTTAGCGTTACACAAGTCAACAATATTCAAACGATACGAACTGTCATGCAAGACGCGCCCGTATGCGCACACCCGAAATGCAACGGCTATTTCTCTCGTATTCTCGTCGCGTCGATCCCAATATGAAAGAGATCGCTGATGTTAGTAAGTTCTTTATCGTCGGCGCGATGTCATTTCGGGTGAAATATGTATATTTGACAAGCTCGATGACGTGATTGTGATGTCGTAAAAAACAAAATAGGAAGTTATCCATGCAAAAAACTAGGAAAAAACTAAATCCCTAGATTTTCAGTGCGACTTATGTGCGAGTCAACTCTAAATTAAACTTTTTTAACACATAACTGATAGTGCGACCTACAAGCGAGTATATACAGTAATTTTTATTTAGTAGGGGGTGGGGGGGGGGGGGGGGGGGGGGGGTAAAATAAATAAATTTAAAACATAATTTTCATTAGTAGTGGGGGAGGGGAAATTTTTTTTTATTTAAAACATAATTTTTATTTAGTAGTGGGGGGAGGGGGGTAAAAAAAAATTAAAAATTTCCAATATCATGATTATTGAAGACATACCGTAACTATTTCTGTTTCCTGAAACGATTCGATTATTTTTACTGTTCAATATTTTTTGTGAATCCTCAATTTTCCAGTTGACGAAACGATACGAAGAATTAAGCGATTTGTTAGAGAAATCCAACGCTGATTTGAAGTCTGACATGGAACGTTGGAAATTCAATAAGAAACAAGACATGAAACAAATCTTCACACAACTTGCTGAAAGTCACATCACATATCAGTCTCAGGTGAGGTTTAACTTTAGTTACGTGGAATTCGTCACATCACATATCAGTAATTTATCACATCACATATCAGTCTCAGGTGGGGTTTAACTTCAGTTATGTGGAATTTGTCACATCACATATCAGTCTCAGGTGGGGTTTAACTTCAGTTATGTGGAATTCGTCACATCACATATCGGTTTCAGGTGGGGTTTAACTTCAGTTATGTGGAATTCGTCACATCACATATCGGTTTCAGGTGGGGTTTAACTTTAGTTACGTGGAATTCGTCACATCACATATCAGTAATTTATCACATCACATATCAGTCTCAGGTGGGGTTTAACTTCAGTTATGTGGAATTCGTCACATCACATATCGGTTTCAGGTGGGGTTTAACTTCAGTTATGTGGAATTCGTCACATCACATATCGGTTTCAGGTGGGGTTTAACTTTAGTTATGTGGAATTTGTCACATCACATATCAGTCTCAGGTGGGGTTTAACTTCAGTTATGTGGAATTTGTCACATCACATATCAGTCTCAGGTGGGGTTTAACTTCAGTTATGTGGAATTCGTCACATCACATATCGGTTTTAGGTAGGGTTTAACTTCAGTTATGTGGAATTCGTCACATCACATATCGGTCTCAGGGGGGGTTTAACTTCAGTTATGTGGAATTTGTCACATCACATATCAGTCTCAGGTGGGGTTTAACTTCAGTTATGTGGAATTTGTCACATCTCATATCAGTCTCAGGTGGGGTTTAACTTCAGTTATGTGGAATTTGTCACATCACATATCAGTCTCAGGTGAGGTTTAACTTCAGAGTTATGTGGAATTTGTCACATCACATATCGGTCTCAGGTAGGGTTTAACTTCAGTTATGTGGAATTCGTCACATCACATATCGGTCTCAGGGGGGGTTTAACTTTAGTTATGTGGAATTTGTCACATCACATATCAGTCTCGGGTGAGGTTTAACTTTAGTCATGTGGAATTCGTTACATCACATATCAGTCTCAGGTGGGGTTTAAGTTCAGTTATGTGGAATTTGTCACATCACATATCAGTCTCAGGTGGGGTTTAACTTCAGTTATGTGGAATTTGTCACATCTCATATCAGTCTCAGGTGAGATTTAAGTTCAGTTATGGGAATTTGTCACATCACATATCAGTCTCAGGTGGGGTTTAACTTCAGTTATGTGGAATTTGTCACATCACATATCAGTCTCAGGTGAGGTTTAACTTCAGAGTTATGTGGAATTTGTCACATCACATATCGGTCTCAGGTAGGGTTTAACTTCAGTTATGTGGAATTCGTCACATCACATATCGGTCTCAGGGGGGGTTTAACTTTAGTTATGTGGAATTTGTCACATCACATATCAGTCTCGGGTGAGGTTTAACTTTAGTCATGTGGAATTCGTTACATCACATATCAGTCTCAGGTGGGGTTTAACTTCAGTTATGTGGAATTTGTCACATCACATATCAGTCTCAGGTGGGGTTTAACTTCAGTTATGTGGAATTTGTCACATCTCATATCAGTCTCAGGTGAGATTTAAGTTCAGTTATGTGAATTTGTCACATCACATATCAGTCTCAGGTGGGGTTTAACTTCAGTTATGTGGAATTTGTCACATCACATATCGGTTTCAGGTGGGGTTTAACTTCAGTTATGTGGAATTTGTCACATCACATATCGGTCTCAGGTGGGATTTAACTTCAGTTATGTGGAATTCGTCACATCACATATCAGTCTCAGGTGGGGTTTAACTTCAGTTATGTGGAATTTGTCACATCACATATCAGTCTCAGGTGGGGTTTAACTTCAGTTATGTGGAATTTGTCACATCACATATCGGTCTCAGGTGGGATTTAACTTCAGTTATGTGGAATTCGTCACATCACATATCGGTTTCAGGGGGGGTTTAACTTCAGTTACGTGGAATTTGTCACATCTCATATCGGTCTCAGGTGGGGTTTAACTTCAGTTACGTGGAATTTGTCACATCACATTTCGGTCTCAGGGGGGGTTTAACTTCAGTTACGTGGAATTTGTCACATCTCATATCGGTCTCAGGTGGGGTTTAACTTCAGTTACGTGGAATTTGTCACATCACATATCGGTCTCAGGTGGGGTTTAACTTCAGTTATGTGAATTTGTCACATCACATAACGGTCTTGGGTGAGGTTTAACTTCAGTTATGTGGAATTTGTCACATCACATATCGGTCTCAGGTGGGGTTTAACTTCAGTTATGTGGAATTTGTCACATCACATATCGGTCTCAGGGGGGGTTTAACTTCAGTTACGTGGAATTTGTCACATCACATATCCGTCTCAGGGGGGGTTTAACTTTAGCTATGTGGAATTCGTCACATCGCACATCAGTCTCAGGTGAGGTTTAACTTCAGAGTTATGTGGAATTTGTCACATCACATATCAGTCTCAGGTGGGGTTTAACTTCAGTTATGTGAATTTGTCACATCACATATCAGTCTCAGGTGGGGTTTAACTTCAGCTATGTGGAATTGTCACATCACATATCAGTCTCAGGTGAGGTTTAACTTTAGCTATGTGGAATTCGTCACATCACACATCAGTCTCGGGTGAGGTTTAACTTCAGAGTTATGTGGAATTTGTCACATCACATATTAGTCTCAGATGGGGTTTAACTTCAGTTATGTGAATTTGTCTCATCACATATCCGTCTCAGGTCAGGTTTAACTTAAGTATAATAATAGTAAGTTTATTTCGACTTCATTATCAGCATAAAAATAAAATGATTGGTAAAAAATAAAATAAAAACTGAATATGAAATCAGGAGAGCAAACAAAACCTTAGATAAAGCTTGCGGTATATGAGATGGAAGGTTTTGCCAAGAGGAAGTGGTACGTGTTCACTCACCTAAAGTTATTACATTAATTCACATGTTGGTTATGTGGAATTGTCGCAACGTCTCAAGTATGCTGTGTCTTGTCTCTCTTACAGCGCACTTTGCTTTTTAACACATTTGTCCTTTTTCAAGGACACATGACCTCTCTTTAGCATACTTGTCCCCTTTTTAGTACAAATTTCTTACAGGTCCTATGCGGCCGAATATTTCATATCTTTTCAGCAAAGTAGGCGCTGCATGATATTGAGAATCCTATGTTTTTACATACACACACAAAAGCAAGGAAGAGGGATGAGTAGTTAGTTAGTCCTGCATAAGCCCAATCAATCACCTTATTACTTATCGATTTATATCGGTAAGTATGTTGATAGGTATTTGTCTGTCTGTTTGTCTGTTAGATGCACACGATATTTCACGAAAGCGAGATTAAATCCGCTGCAGATTTTGAATGTGCATTCATCAGATGTCGGACCAGAAGCCTATTGATTTTGGGCAAATTATGTCGTATAATTAGCGAGTTATTAATCAATTAGTGATGGGACACAAGGTGTCACTATGGAGTAAGAGCGCTGTTTTGGGGGATCCCCTAACTTTCGATCGATAAGTCTTCAGTCTCTGACCGATATTCTCGTTATTCTGTTTTTGCAGTGTCTCTCATCCTGGGAATCCCTGGTCCCACTTATGCAAGGAAAGGTAGATTTTGGTGACCTTGGACAGACTGACAACGACCTTGTGGAGGAAGATTCTGAAAATTTGGAAACAAGCAAAACATCGATTTCAAATGACAGCACGGATCCTTGATTTCATATATACTTTATTTTAATTTTTTCTCGATTAAATTTTGAATGATTTTTATCACGAAGGGCTGTGGACTAGTATTGGGTAAGTTCCAAGTCAAGTCTGGGTCTTCGGTAGGTACTCCCGAAGTATGTAAACCAAGATGGCGGACGCCGGAGCGTAGTATTTGTGCCATCTTAGATTTGGGCCATAATTTTATTCCAATTTTACTCATTTTAGTCCTACTATGAGTTTGGGGACTAGCCAAGTGACTCCTGTAGTATTTGTACCTGAAATTATGGCTCAACTCTAACATTAACATGGCACACATACTACTCTCCAGTGTCCGCCATCTTGGTTCACATACTCCAGGAGTACCCTTCAGAGTTTCAATTTACGTCCGAACCTCAATAGAATTCAAAATTTGAACCCAATTTATGTTCACTGTATCCTTGAGTCAAAAGTCTCACTGGTAGCTAGTCGACCCGTCTTGATTGGATGAGTCGAGTCGATTGGTTATTTGAAAAAGAATAACGGAACGGACTAAATCCCAACCGTATGGCCCTTTTATCACCTCGAATGACATAACCAATCTTTTTTGAATCTAGTTTTTTAAATATGAATGATTTCAATTGCTAATGGCTGAGGAGGAATGTTTGGTATAAAAAAGTCATCGAAAAAATATGACTCTCCCCCCAAAAAAAAACGAATTTTGAGTACAAAAATTTTGGCATGTACGAGCCTCCTTGAGTAGACCATTAAGACTAGTAAACTGAGTGACAAACTACCAAAAACCTTGCAAAAATGTGCAATGACAGTGGAAAACCATCAACTTGGATTAACATCAGATAATGATAAGTTTTGACTCTCATAGGAATCGCGACTCCAGTGCAAATTCGCCAATACTGACTCTGCAGCCTTTTTATCCTCATTAAATCATTTCCCAAATTATGATTGGTAATCTATGGTGCGAGACTGGTCATGTGATCATCCAATTTTTCGAATCAAGTTGGTTATCAATGAATATTCTGATCAATGAATAAAATTTGGAGAGAGGGGTTTCCCCCTTTTAGCTATTTAGAATTACCCTTGGGTACTATTTCTAGTTTATCATCTTTTTCATGTAGTATGTTACGGTAGTTATATTAGCTTATATTTCATAAAAGTCATTCAAAATTAGTTAAAATCATGATTTTCTTACTCAGTGTTTCCCGTACTTTTGCTAAAAAATGACCCTTCTTCACTTTTGAGTGACTACCCCAAACTTTGCTTAGAGATGAGTCTCCTTTACTTCTGAGTGAGTGCCCATAACTTTTCTCAGAGATGAGTCTCCGTCACTTGTGAGTGAGTGCCTGAAACTTTGATAAAAAATGAGTCTCCTTTACTTCTGAGTGAGTGCCTGTAACTTTGCTCAGAGATGAGTCTCCTTTACTTCTAAGTGAGTATCTGTAACTTTTTTCGGAGATGATTTACTTTTATCTACTTCTGAGTGAGTTATTGCAAATTTTTTTTTTTGTGCCATCTAGTTAAATTCTTCATCTGATTTATTTATATGTTGCAATGTATATTTTATTGCCAATGTTAACACGAGGAGGAAATTACCAAGCTTTGTCGAATGTCATATCTCCCATCGCAATTGTATGAATCTCACTTCACATGACTATCTAACTATTTGCCTAAGTCTGTGTTTCTTCACCTGGATTCGATCGAACCCCTGGGGTTTGGTGGGGCTGCTCCATGGATCGGTGAAAGTGCCCTGAACCATTTGTGTACAGGGTGTCCATGAAGAGTTAAAAAAAAATTTAAAATTGCAAAGGGAATTCATTGATACTATATATTGTTTTGGCCCTCACAGATGTATTAGGTAAAAAATACTTGAACAATTACTGATTAAAATACAACAAACTTGGTTAAGATATATTGAGAACTGACTTCATAACAAAATTAAAAAAAAACTTCATCGACACCCTGTATATCATGAAGTATCACTGTGGTTGCTAATTTGTCCGAAAGACTCCGAGGAGGTTTTCGAGAAATTTGATAATTAAAAAAGGGATTTTAGTCTGAGGACTGTGTGTGTGTGAAGTTAATAGCTCTCTTGCTTCAAATTATAATGTCCCTTTGGTTTCAACTTTACAGAACGTTGTTTGTGAACAGTTGGGTTTTTGAAGTATCTTTTTATTTGAAAAAGCTTTCTTATTGAAGCGCATTCCCTAACCCTATAAACCAAACTGTTTTTATCACAAATACTTGTTTTACAGCAAAATGCTCTTGCGGCGAAATTTCACTAAACAATCACATGTAAAAATTTTGAATCTGGTAAAAATATGACATCATACAAAGAATCTGTATGAAAAGTCTTGTGAGAAGTTAAGTTTGGGCGGAATATTTCGTGGGGGGGGGGGATTTCCCATTATATTATCGATTCAAGATTCCTGACTGATTCCAGTGTTTAGTGCAATGATGATTTTCTTGATTTCTTTAAATATTGTACGAATTAAGATTATTGAATAGAATAAATTTATGTAGTAAATGTTAGTTTTTGTAATGTTTCCTGTAATCCAGGAAGAGAGGAAAGTCGATGATACGGCTGAATGATAGGATTTTCACTGGGAAGGGAAGATGATGAAGATAGGATTTACATATTCATCCAGAATGCGAAGAAAGAAGTTCAATCATATGACGAACCACGGCTCTCGACTGTTTACCTGTTCATGTCGGGTATGGGATTAGTTGGCCAGCGACCAGGCGTTTTGTAACCACCTTACGGCGGCGAAGACCCAGCAATCATCTCCCACATAAATATCCCTACATAGGATTCAAGCCCACCTAGTACAAGCGGAAGCGAGAGTATTGCTAACGCTTAGCAAGATGCGCCACACCACCGACCCAAATATATGAAAAGTAGTCAAAATATTGCTTAGACACGTTTTCCAGATAATTGCAACGAGTCTTCTTGGAACGTGTGCACTGTAAAGGGAAATTACGAAAAGGGCAAAATTTGAATGCGCAATAACGGGCTCCATAGTAACGGTATGTAGTTTTGATTAGGGTTGGTATTTCGGGACCAGTTTTTGAAATCCCGGTATCGGGATGTTCCGGGATTGAGGCGTATAATTCAGGGATTAAGTAAAAGATTGAAACAACCTGCTGGGCAATAAAATCACGTATTTATTTCATGTAATATCAGCGCAGAAATATTAAAGCCTTTATCAGTAGTTTATTTTTTACCATTTATATACTGAAAAAAGGCACAAACATGCAAATTGCAATATATATATTATAAATAGGCCATATTTCAGGGTGAAGCAGACAGACCAATACTGGTTATCGAGAAGCGGCATCAATAAGTCTAATACTATATTATGAAGAAGAAAAAGTCGAACTAAGTATATATATGTAAATTGAAAAAAATGTAGGTCAGTGGTTCCCGACCTTTTTTTTATATCGCGGCACACTATTTAGATCTTTCAATATTCGCCACACACCTATCAACAAACATATCTACTCATAAAGAGTGCGATAGTCGAACGCGAACGAATAATGTAATATAACGAATGTTTTCTTACATTTTGGTAAACGAGAGCGTCTTCGGATCACTTCGAATTATCGTAAAAGTTGTGCGGTCACTCTTCGTTCCACGTTACGCCCTTAGTATTATCTCATGTATTCTAACTTTTTCACAACCCAATTCATTTTTGTTACAATTTGATATGTTTCTCCCATTGCCAAAATCATTCAATAGTGTTATTGCCGGAAGTGCGAGAGAAATGAAAGAGGCACTGTATTTCATTACAACAATTAATTATTATCGCTAAAAACACTGAATAGATTTAAAGTTGGTATAAACAATTTTCACCGCTGGACGTATCTTTTCACGTTATGCATTTCGTGCAAGGCCCGAGCATAATTTGATTGCAAAGATCATAGCATTTACTATGTCGTAACGCTTATTCGACTTTTCAGACCGCAGAAACTATCCGTAAATCGCAAGGGTGGGCAAAATAGTATATTTCTATCGAATCGAATAATTTTAACGAATTGTCGAATATCGTGTTGAACTCGGGATTTTATTTCGATTTTTATCTTTTTGGCCAACTCTGATCTTCCTTGTCACCGTTTGTAAATTAACTCTCCCAAATTTAAGCTAAAAATATTATCATTTCTGATGCTGGAATGCGGATATTTATGAAGACGATAGTTGACTGTTGTGTATGTTAGTATTGTGACAAGTCAAATAATAATTCCTTGGTAAACTTTGAGAAAAACTTCGCAAAATAATTCCTCTTAGTCTGACTGACTTAAACTGTGAGCGTGGATGGCTTTTTTTCAAAATAAGTAATAATTAAAATGGTATAACCTACCATTTGTAATAATATCTATATATGGATAACAAAGCTTCAAAATCCCGGAATTTTAGGAAATAATTGCGGGATCGGGATTGAAAAACACATTCCAAATCCCGGGATTGGGATTTCCCGGGGTCCCAACCCTAGTTTCGATAGAAGAAAATTTGAAAAAGGTCAAATAACCTTCCGCAACTTTCCGACATCAATTCGACAATAACGATCAACGGGTCAACTTCAGCTCAAGTCAAAACATATATCCGACGTACAGAGTACGAACGACCAGGTTTAGTTTATTGGACACGTAGTGGACATAACGATCGTTTCAATATTATGTTGTTCTTGTTCTTGTTGTTTGACACAGAATAACACACCTAGTGGAAATATTGAAAAAACGTCATTTTGTGTCCTACTGTACTGCTTAGCTTGGTGTGAATATATTTGTAGACTGTGATCTGACGGTACGGTAAACCGTATTGTACTGCGAACAGACGTGTCCATATATTTGGGCGTAGCTCTCTTGTTATATGTGTGTATGTATCGGATAAGATTTACATATTTATCCCGGGAGAGAGGAAAGCCTCTGGGACGACTTAATCAGCTCGCGAAACAAAGTCTTTCGTCCAGTTACCTGTTCATATCTAGTGTGGGATTAGTTAGCCAGCTATTTATTCTGTTTTCAGATGCATGGACTTGATGGTAGGTTTTAAGTGAACCACTCTGCGATGGCGAGGATTCTATCAATCCTCTCGCACATAAATATCCCTACGCTACGGTATTCAAACCTGGGAACCCACTAGGCCGCGAGCCGAGGCCCTGAAAAACGCCTAGAAAGTGAGTTTCGTAGCGCAAATCTATTAACTATAATTATTCTTCAGTTTTGTATCAAAATGAACATACTGAACGCATTACAGCTTGTTCCCACTAACGGAAGTTGCACATTTTCTGTAAAACAGGCTTCAAAAATCCTGATGCAAAAGTTGGATATCAAGGGGATTCCCCGAAAATCAATGATCATGGGCTCACAACGACAGAGCATGGAACGTCGCTTTCATTTTATACTGTATATGCCATCGGACGCATCAATTTTTATGCGATGAAACCATAAATTAACACCTTGAGCACAAAAACACAAGTTAATTGGTTAAAACCCTGGTGCTAAATTCGATATAAGGTGGTTACCAGAAAATCAATAACCATAGGTTTACAACACAGCATAAGAGCTATGCAAATCAAGAGCCCAGCTGCATTTAACACTAATGTATTTCTGTAGCGTTTTGTCTGACCAAAATAAGCCTCTCTCTCACAAGCAACAAAGAACAGCACACGCAGGGTAATCAGAGATGCGATGGCGAGTGCATAAACGCTTAGTACGATGCGCCACACCGACGACCGGAGTTTAAATTAAATTATAGGATGGGATTTATACCGGATGAGAGAAAAGCCGATAAGACGGCTTAATCATATGTCGAACCACGGCCTCTCGTCCGGTTACCATTCCATGTCGGGTGTGGGATTAGTTAGTTATTTGTTTTCGGAAGCATGGACTTGATGGTGGAGGAAGCCGTAACCGACCAATGGTTACATCAACCACTCTACGATGGCGAGGATTAATGTAATACCCTCCCACATTATTTCCATGGATTTCGCAGGATAATCAGAGATGCGATGGCACGCGAATTCTTAACGCATAGTATGATGCGCCACACCGTCGACCGGAGTTCAAATTAAATTATCAAAAACTTTAGAGAGCAGATTAACTCCCTATTGGGAATTTCGCTTTTATGCTTTACATAAATTAAAAAATAAACATAAACTTTGTTTTTAGTTCAGTTTTTATTCTTTTTTTTTGTTAGACTTCTATTAATTCTTTCGTGGGTCCCTTCGCCCTGAAATGGCATTTTCACGTTTTTCATATGTTTTGTATTCCTATTTAATGTTCGAATAAATTATATATTTAGTATGAATGAAAAAACTATTTATTTCTGATCAAAAATCCTAAGCCGATAAGACGGCTTAACCATATGTCGAACCACGGCCTCTCGTCCGCGGTTACCATTCCATGTCGGGTGTGGGATTAGTTAGTTATTTGTTTTCGGAAGCATGGACTTGATGATGGAGGAAGCCGTAACCGACCAACGGTTACATCAACCACTCTACGATGGCGAGGATTAATGTAATACCTTCCCACATTATTTCCATGGATTTCGCATGATAATCAGAGATGCGATGGCACGCGAATTCTTAACGCATAGTATGATGCGCCACACCGTCGACCGGAGTTCAAATTAAATTATCAAAAACTTTAGAGAGCAGATTAACTCCCTATTGGGAATTTCGCTTTTATGCTTTACATAAATTAAAAAATAAACATAAACTTTGTTTTTAGTTCAGTTTTTATTCTTTTTTTTGTTAGACTTCTATTAATTCTTTCGTGGGTCCCTTCGCCCTGAAATGGCATTTTCACGTTTTTCATATGTTTTGTATTCCTATTTAATGTTCGAATAAATTATATATTTAGTATGAATGAAAAAACTATTTATTTCTGATCAAAAATCCTAATGTAGTGTCGTGCAGGTGCTGCCTTTATTGGGAGCCATAATTGTACGCATGAATGAGCATAGGTCAGTGACGAATGTTATTTTCGAGTTGCAGTTTTCGGTTACGTGGCTAAATTTCTCGTTTTTGTGAAAAATGGGTAGTTTTGGGCCAATTTTCGCCGTATTTTTGATATTTTTGGGGTTGTGTTTTGCTCAGGAAAGGGTTGATCAACGAGGAGCAGGCCGATTGAACGATCCAAATGCAGTTTTGGGAGATACGGGACAGCGTGGCAGCCTAAAAGGAGCTCCACAGCAGCACTTCAGGCAAGGTGATCAAGTCGCACGACTAGACCAAGGGGTACCGGTCAGGCATATAGATGATTCTAACCTCGTTAATATGCCGCAGGCTGGTATCCCACGCCAGCCTGTTGTTGGGGAGGAAAAATTGAGGCACAGACAAAGAGCTAAACCACTTATCGCTGGTTTGAGCACCAGTCAAGAATGCGGAGAAGATGTCCAAAGAATCTGTGGTCACAGGAATTTACAAAGTAATTTGGAAGTTCTGGCCTGCGTTACAAATTCAGATCTTGACGAAACTGATTTAAGTGAAGAATGCCACGAACATATTTGGCATTACAAACTTAACATCACAAAAGATCAAAAATTTTCAAGCGTTGCTCGTGAAATTTGTAAACCGGCTTTAGAAAAGTTTCCGCAATGTGCGAAGTTTGATGACGCGAGTGGGAAATTGATTCCTTGCCTTCTTGACGAAAAGGATAAAATCCAGTTAAGGCCGTGTTATCATTTTTTGGTAAAAATGGGGACAATTATTTATAGCGATTATCGGTTAGTTTGTAATTTCATCGAAGACTGTAAAGAGGATATTCAGAAACATCATTGCGCATTTTTGACTCAAGCGAATAAAGATGGTGACACTGCCGCGCATTCGCAAGGTGCCGTGATAAATTGTCTCGAGGAAAAAATTGTTGACGGTGAAACAGTAAATGAAGATTGTGCGAAACAAATTGTACGACTTTCAGAATTAACGTCTGATGATTATCACCTTGACAGGAATCTTTATTTCGCTTGCAAGGACGTGCGTGAGCGATTATGCGAAGAGGTCCAATCAGGTGAAGGAAAAGTTTATAAATGTCTTTTTCGACACAAGTTTGACCACGAGATGACGCCAGAGTGCCGTGAGGCTTTAACTTTGCGTCAAAAGCTTCTTGCGCGAGACTATAAAGCAAGTTACGAGCTTATGAACTATTGTCAAAAAGATATTGACACGCTTGGATGCATTCATCACCCAGAGTATAGGGTACAAGACGCCAATGATCACGGCGATATTATCGGCCTTTCTGGAATGCTTCTGTGTCTAGAAGAAATCGCTCATCATCAAGATACACAGTCTCACGTTAGCCAGCAGTGTGAAAACCAACTCGCCGATTTCCGACAAATGTTAAGCGAGGATTACCAAATGAGTCCTGAGATAGTACGTGGTTGTTCCACTGAGATAAATATTTGCGCTGAAAAAGAAGAAGTTTTAAAGAACGGGCAAACAATACACTGCCTTATGAATCTGGCTCGAAATAAAGACGGCATTGGTGAGAGCTGTGAAGCCGCGATAATGCATTTATTGAAAGAAGAGGAGGTTTTGTCAGACTATCGCATGGATTACGCGCTTGCTCAAGCTTGTACTCCGGTCGTTCAAACGGCATGTTCTCATCTTAAAGATGGAGATCCAATGATTCTATCCTGCCTTATGGATCATTTACATTCAGATACGATGGTGGAGGATTGCCGCAATCGTTTGCTTGAGTTACAATATTTCATCAGTCGAGATTTTACCCTGGATCCAATTTTCATGAAAAAATGTAAAAACGATGCGAAAAATCTCTGTGGTATAGAGAAATTTGGAAACACTGAAAATGATGTTGAAATGCCGTACTCTCTTGTAGTATCATGTCTTTATCGACACATTCCCGGGGCCGTTCAACCTCGAGGCGGCCCAGTTAATAAAAAAAAGCAAACCTCACGTGGATGTGCAGAAGAAGTTCGAAAAATCATGAAAACGAGAGCGTTAGATTTTCAATTAAATCCAGATTTGGAGAAAGCTTGCCGAATTTCCCTCGGACAATATTGTTCTGATAACGTAGTAGAAAAGGGAATGGAGCTTGTCTGCTTACAAGATGCGTTTGAGAATATAACACTCGATGCTGATAAAGGGCAAGGAGACGCAGAAAAATGCATTGATAAACTCGAAGAGATTACTGAACTGGAAGAGGGGGAGGCAGGGAATTTGGATAATATTTTACTCAGAGCTTGTGAGCCTGATATTGATCGTTTATGCTCAGACAAACAGGATGATGATGAAAATGAAGGCGAGGTAATGCAGTGTTTGATTGATAATAAATTCGACCTCACAGATGATTGTAAAGCCGGCGTGTTACATTTCCAACTCATTGAATTGAAAGATATAAATTTTAGTTATAACTTCATGAAAGCTTGTAAAAGTGACGTCGAAAAAAATTGTTTGACCGAAGGGAATAAACGGAAAACTAAAAATGAGGTTGTTGAATGTCTCAGTGAGATACATTTACGAGATATTGTTGAAAAACGTGACGACACGATCTCCGAAGAGTGCATCGCTGAACTTTCGGTTGAAAATTTACAACGCCACGAAGATATGAAACTTAATCCTTCATTGAAAAATGCTTGCCAAGCTGATTATAAAAAATTTTGCAAAAAAGGTAAAGTGAAGGGCATTGAATGCTTGCGAATGCACCATCATAAAATCAGTAATCATTGTCGAAAACAACTTTTTAAATTCGAAAAAGAAGAAGCGATTGAACCAGACCTTGATTTCATTCTAAGAAGGACATGCAAATCAGCAATTATGCAGTTTTGCCATAAAGAAGGCGAGTCACAATCAATTTTAGACTGTTTGATTCGAAATAAAGAAAATTTAGAGGACGCCTGCCACGATATTGTCCATGAAAGAGAAAGGGAGCAATACTCAGACATAAACCTCAATCCGGAGTTAAAAGATGCTTGCGAAAACGATATTGACACTCACTGTAAAGAGATTTTGGATGATTTGAAAAAAGGCGAATCGAAAGGGGATGACATGACCGGCCAAGTTACCGAGTGTCTCAAGGAAGTTGAACTAGATCAGGGTCGTGAACTCACACGATCCTGCTCAAGGCACATTCGATTCGTTATAAAACAGGAAGAGAATGATTATAGTTTAGATCCAATGTTGACCTTAAATTGCTTAAAATCGATTCAAGAAATTTGCAAACCAAATAAAGTTCCAAACGTAATTGAATGCTTGAAACATGCTTACTTCAACGGCGGTTTACAGAAAGATACGATGTGCATGGTGGAAGTGGCGCGTTTACTCAAAGAAGGACGCATGGACATCTTAGCGGATCCTGTTCTACACAACCTCTGTCAGATGGATATACGGCGCCATTGCAGTGACGTCGCGGAGGGCAAAGGTCGCATTATGGGTTGTTTATTATATACAATAGAACAGGGACAGAAAGAAGTCTTGCGTGATTGTGCGGATGCTCTAATACAGCGGAAAGAAATGTGGGACTATGCAGTTGAGCACGGTGCAAAGGGCTTCCCGGGTCTCATGAAGCAAGTAATGACTTCCCCAGACTCTAGTTACTTACTAACTGGTATAACTGCTTTTCTAATTTGCATCCTTATTTTGGGGATGGTCTGCGGAAGAGTAACAAAGCGTGTATCTCGGCAGAGAAAAATGCTTTGAAAACACATTTTTGACGATTTTATCGATGTTTAACATAAAAAGTGCGCTTTCCAACATTTGGTAAAGTTGTGTGTTATTAGGCTATAGCCACCCCCTACTTCCCCTGTTGTCACAGTTTTTGTTATGATGTCATATTTATTGTTTATGATGACTTGTCTTTCTATAATGTCATAATAATAGCGCTAATATCTGTTTTTCCTGATATCTGATAAGGCAGGCTGTATTCAGAATTCGAAAGAAACCAGATCTCCCTAGCTTGCATGGAGCATTGTTCAGAGCACAATTTTTTTCTTTTGGTCAAGGATAAGGGATTATTAAGCTTCAAATAATAGAAGGACACATTTTTTTCAACTTTTTTTTTTGGGGGGGGGGGGGGGCACTACCTTTTAGGCAACCAAACTAAACTTGATGTATGGTAATCGTAGGTGAAAAAAAGCATTTTTGAAACTTTGAAAAATACAGTTTGCTTAACAGTGGTATTTGTTATTACCATTGTTTCATCTCCCGGGATAAATATGGAAGTCAGGCCCTAATTATTCATGATTTCAAAAAAAAAAGGAAACCTTAAAAATATTTTAAACTGGGTCATGATCAACAAAAACACATAGAAGTCAATGTACATCTAATAAGAGTTGAATTCGGAAATGCAAGAAAGTTGAGATTTGATTTATTTATTTAAGTTCTTAGAAATCAAAGAAAGGCCTTTTTGGTCATTCTGCTAGAGTTGATTTATTTATTGAATATGGAAATGCAGTACATTTATTAAAATAAGCATGTGAGATTTGGTATAATCTGTTAACTATCGTAGTTAGTATATAGGGTGTCTATAAAGTCCCCAACATTTTTTGAAATTGCAAAGGGAATTTATCGATACCATATATTGTTTTAGCCCTCGCTGATGTATTGAATGAAGTAAAAATACTTGTATAATTACTTATTAAAGAACAAACAAACCTGGTCAAGATATATATTGAGAACTGACTTCATAACAAAATTGAAATTGTAAAGAGACTTTATGCACACTATATTGAAGTTGACTTTGAAAATGCAGTACCGTTAAGATAAGCCATATTTGTGAGATTTTTTAGATATCATTTTGTAGATCTTGCAACTAGGTATTATATATACAGGGTGTTCATGAAGTCCTTTTACATGTTCAATTTTGTTCCGAAGTCAGTTCTCAATATATCTTAATCAGGCTTGTCTTTTTAATCTGTGTTTATTCCAACTTGGGAACAACAGACTATAAAATGTGGTATCGTCAATGTTAATGAAATTAAATTTGCATTCCAAAACGTCACAATTTTTTTTGTCTTACAAAATATAAATGCAGACAAACTATAAATGATTTCGATGAATTCCTCTCGCAATTAAGAAAGTTTAATGAGATCTTAAGAACACCGTGTATTATTTTGAATATTTGAGAATTCCTAGGCAAGAGGGCGCATGTAAAAATTACGATAAAATTTAGATTGAAAAGGGTTTTTTAAACTGTTTTTGTAACCAAATTTTGAAGCCATATTCACCAAAATACTTTAATTTAAAATTGAGAAGAGTTTAAAAACAAAATATAGCTTTTCTCTATTTTTTTTAGTTTCGTATTTTTAGGTTAAAGCCCTTGTATTTTATTTACCTTGTCAAAAATTTTAAATGTATTTGAAAATTCGATTCATTTTTTAAAGTTTAGTTATTAGTGATTTAACTTGACATTATGGTAATCACAAATTAGAATACCATACATCCGGATATGCACGCGTAAGCAACCAGGAAACTGTTATTCATTGTCTGCTAGCTTAACTATGCATTGTAACCTGATGTTCCAGTCAGTTGATGGATACTTATCTAATTCTATGAAGCTGATGTTTGAAAATTTTCAAACTTACGGCATATTTATACCCTACTGCATGGGTACTTAACTATTTTTAGCGAAGATCCGCATACAAAACTTCAAAATTATTTGCGTCCGGTGTTTCCAGAAATTATATTTTGGCCTCCTTAATTGCGCACTTCCTCGACCGGCTAATGATTATTAATTTATTAAATAATCAAGATTGTTTATCATGGCGTTTTAGTTCTTTTCATATTATATTCCAAACTGTAAAAGTCATTTTATAAAAGGAAACTTCAAAAGTGAGGCTAATGATCGAAAATAAAGAATTAGGTGCATTCCAAATCAAATACTCGAAAGGTTCGGATTGAGACCGCGGTCCGCCAGTTGAGTAGCCCTGCCCAACTGTAAAACTACAAATCATGTCGCAATAAAAACTATTTTAATTCATTATCCTAAGTGATTCAAGACCTTGGTCAGACGAATCGTTGGAGCAGACATGGCCAAACTACTGCTCGTTTCAATTCGGCGCGCCCGATGCTGCCGCAACCGAATTGAAACCAAATTTTGATGTTGAGCTAAAAATAGCTCATTGAGTTTGTTGAGATTGTGATTAAATTTAGTCTATAAGGCACTAGGCTAATTGTTTCCCACTTTTGCTTTGCTTAAAAAAATGACTTTTCATCCATTACATTTAGATTATTTTGGCATAAAATGATTCGTTAAGAAAAAGTAAAGCTGGTTAAATCAAAAATTCAGCATATTATGGTCGTTTGTGCACGCAAAAACAAGCCCATTTTCACAGCAAAAACGACAAATTTAATAAAAAATTTGTATTCTCCATCATTCAACATTTTCAAAATTCTTATGAAATATAATCTTAACTTTTTTTTGTAATTAAAAACCAAAATTGTTTATGAGGTAAATTTTTACCTGTAATACCTGATTTTCATTTCAAGAATGGCAAGTTTTACAAAAATGTATCTTCCATTATATGAGAGAAAATATTCTCAAATTTTGAAAATGTAATTTCTTGACATCTTCACGTATAATAAGCTTTTTTAATTTTGTACACACCACAACCATGGTTTTGTGTTTACCAACTAATGTGAAAGATATTAATATCCCGCACCCCGGGGCTGTTTTGTGATTTAGAAGGCCACGTCGACAATCACTCAAGTGGATTATTGATTTAAAATAGAAAAATAATCTGGAATTAGAATTTCTCAAAAATAAAATTTGGAAAAAATTGAAGTATCTCGAAAGTATTGCACTTTCATAATCTAATTCGGTACCGTACTTTTTCCTCTGACCAAAGTCAAGACTTCCTCAGATGCGCTGTTTACAGCAGGGATCAAAATTTACGGAAGTTTGATGTGACATAATTGTAACGTAATTACTGCTTCTTCTCTCTTTCTTTGTGTTATTGGATGCATAGACTGCTGGGATACTGTAGCGAGAATCAGCTCGGCTGTATCGTTCCAGTGATTCTAAAGTCTTGCAATAACATATGAAATTCGAAAAAGATTGAAAATAGCTCAAAGTATAGCACTTTCATAAATTTAATTCTGTTACGTTCAATCTGACTGAATCCCCTTTCTTAGACAAGCAATGATGTGAATAGGATATACGGCACAATTGTACCAACTACTGCTACACTTTTTGGGTCCCTTTCTTTTTCATAATGATGCCAAGTTTTGATTTTTAAATGTGTTTCCATTGTTTATGTGGGCCATTTTCAATAACGAAACCCAACATAGGAAAGCAAAATATAACTCCTTTCAATTCACCTTAAATTAATGTGTTAGTACCTGTGCTCATGGCTCATAGATACTTGCTCTTTAGGCACCTAGAAGAGTCTGGGTCAAGTTCGAGAAAAACACAAGTAGATGTGACAATTGAAAATTTGTGATTTGTCTAGTTTCTGATTTTTTTTATATTTTAGATCAATTTGGCTATAAAGAAAAGAGTTAGTTTCCCTATTTTCTGCTTTGAATAGTTTTTTCAGGCCAGGTCACTCAAAATTCTGTTTTTAATATTAAAATTGAAGAACATTTTTTAAAACTTAAATTCTTCTCAAAATTTATGATTACTTTGCTGTGTGAACCGTTTTCACAATAAAGTTGTCATTTTAATTTAGTTTCTGACAATGTAATTTGCCCCCAGGGTTTTTCGTGCGGTGAACGTATTACAGGCTTTATTAAAATACCGCACAGCTTGTATGAAAGTATGAGATAATTATTATAAACAAAAGAAGCAATAATACTTAGTAAGAATGACTAAACTGAAAGTACATTTTAAAATAAAATTCCCAAATATCGGATTAATTTTGGATTTACTTAGCAAATAAATTTGTTCAAAGTATTTTATAATATGGTGAACAAAGGAGTTTGCAAAATACTTGTAAGATTTTAGAAATTGTATAATTACAACTCCGAATACATTCTAATATAACGGTTTCGAATATTGAATAAATTGTCAGATTTGCACTTTTTCCAATTCAGCTCGTACCAAGATATTAATAATTGCGATTTCACTACAAAACACGTCCTGAAATACTATCATTCTATTTTTCGAATATTTCGTCCCGTTATTTGGAGTGCTGCATAAACGCATTCGGCAGTTTTAACGCCACCATAAACAACGATTAACAAACAATCAATGTTTTTCTTTCGGTCCCGTAGTTTGGTGTTATTTGGAGTGCCGCATAAACGCATTCGGCAGATTTAAAGCCGTCGAAAACAACGATTTAACAAACGTTCCGTGTTTTTTTTCGGTAAATTGCTCTCTTTTTCCGAATCGCGTAAATCTGATTCGAATTGATCCGATTCGTAAATCCAAAAGTGGCATCCCTAATTTCCACAGCTGAAAATGTTCTCTAGGATGTATTCGGAATAGCAAATTATTGGATTCTGGTTGAGCCTAGTTTGTTCCAACAGGCGAGCCTAAAATGAACATGGATTAAAATCAAAACTGAAACAATTACAGCTTTAAATTGAAAATCAGGCCTCTGTTCCATAATGAGTAGAGACCAAAAAATTTCGTTCTTCGAAAAATGTGGCGATTGTGTTGGTTTTACTGTAGCAATATGCTAAATTCGACAATATTCGAAAATATAGTTTTAAAATGTATTCATGGTAGTAGAATATCTGGTTTCGCCAGGCTTTACCGAAACAAACCATTTTAGAGACGAAAAATCAATTTTTGTGCGCGTTCATCAGAATTGGCTATTTTCCAAATATTTGCTTTCTTCGGTATATTATATTTTAAACGTGATCAATCAATAATATCAAGAGATCAATCACTTTTGGAACCGTGGTTTATTTGTATCGTATTCATACACGGTATTATAAAACTGGCATGTAATGCACCACCATAATTCTAGTGCTTTGAACCGTGTCCTGAAAATTCGCCGCAAGAAATTTTGCTGCAAGATCATTTGTCTGTAAAACAAGTATAAAAAAAGAATCTTTGGGGCTCCCGAAGTATGCGAACCAAGATGGCGGACATCGGAATGTAATATGTGTACTAGGTTAGGGTTAGGCCATAATTTTAAGTATAAATACTACGGGAGGCTCTTGGCTAGTCTTCGAATTGATAATAGGACTAAAATAAGGAAAGTTGGAAAAAAAATTATCGCCTAACCTTAACCTGTTACGTTCCGATGCCCGCCATCTTGGTTCGCATACTTTGGGAGCACCGAATCTTTTTTAAAAAAAACTGATTTTATCACAGCAAAATTGCTCTTGCGGCAAATTTTCCTATGTGCTGAGATTTCCTGCGAGGAATTTCCGTAGAACCGCTTTCAACTGTTATTATTTCGGTAGTTGCATGAAATTTGGTTTGAGACGAGTCTCTATCACTTCTGAATGAGTGTGTGTTATGCACTACGTATATCTTTAATATGTAGATTTCGGCTTTTCAAAAGTTTGATGTACTGTAACTTTGTTCAGAAATATTATCTTTGAACAAAAGCCTATAGACACCAATAGTCCACATCCATTTCCGTAGAACCGCTTTCAACTGTTATTATTTCGGTAGTTGCATGAAATTTGGTTTGAGACGAGTCTCTATCACTTCTGAATGAGTGTGTGTTATGCACTACGTATATCTTTAATATGTAGATTTCGGCTTTTCAAAAGTTTGATGTACTGTAACTTTGTTCAGAAATATTATCTTTGAACAAAAGCCTATAGACACCAATAGTCCACATCAGAAGTGTGCGACATTTTAATATTGGAGGGCCAGAGATAAATAACTGGATGAAACCACAACATAGGCTTTCCGGTAGTTGCAGGCTCAAAAATTTTGGGTATGGATTTTATGACATGCGTTGTTTGCTTCAAACAAGCTAGGTGTCAGGCCATAGTGTCAGCATAGGTAACAAATTTGAATCAGGTATAGGATTTGCAACGCAAAGGGATTGGAATTACTTGCACATACCAGATCAAACTAAATTAAAAACTCCTTTCGTAGGGCGCAAAATTTTCTTGTGGGCAGCATTTGGCCCGCAGGTTGCACACCTCTGGCCTACATAATAAACTCATGTGTCCCTTTTATATCTTAACTATCCATAACCTAGATTTGTTTGTCGTGATATAATAGTGACATGTCACAAAATGTCACCAATAAAATATGGGTATTTGAACTAAAATTTATAGCTATTTGGTTCCATAGCAAGTGGCTACTATCTAAATATACAGCCATATTAAAATATCTGAATGTGGATAAATTTTCTGAGTTTATGAATGGTTTAGAAAAGTTTTATTGACGAAATATTTTATCACTGATTAGGACTGGTATCGAAGATATCCAAAATGGATCCAATTTTCACTTACATTTAAAACTGTTTATATTTAAGAAGAGTGTTATATACTAAATTCTTGATTTAGAATAATTTAGGAAAGTTTCAGTTGATCACACAATATGACTGAAAACATTCTTATTCAATATACAAAAACTGGTACTCCCGTAGTATGTTCACCAAGATGGCGAACCCCGGAACATAGTATGTGTACCAGGTTAGGATTAGGCCATAATTTCAGGTACAAATACTACAGAAGTCACCTTGCTAGTCCCCAAACTCGTAATAGAACTAAAATAAGGAAAATTACTTATACTACGTTTCATTGTCCGCCATATTGGTGCACATACTACTGGAGCGCCCAAATATTATTAGGAAACCAACAAAATCATCGTTTATCTTACAATG